AAGGGGAAGGGGGATAATCGCTGATCTATAAGCACCGCCGATGCCCTCGTACGCCGGGTCAAAGGTATGGTAGTGATAAAATGGATTTCTAAGGTAACTTTTATGGCCTCGATTCCGTTTCCGAGTAATGCAACAACTAGGGGTACATGGGCCATGAAAGTCTAGGTTACCCCACTCCCCCCCCCCTCCCTAACTCATTGTAGCTACGCTTCGCTTCCCCTTCACCATGTCTTCTAGTTCTAAGCCAGAAAATTGAATTCGTCCTTCCCTGACAAATTCTCTAATGAGTCACCACTTCGCTCCTTGCTGCTTTTGATAAGAGACCAGTCCATCAAAAATGGAGATTAATGGACTCGAAAAAATGGCAGTAAAAAAAGGTTGACGACTTGTCATGAGGCAATCAAAGCTTGCAGTTCACGCCATGCACCCTTTGTTTGAATTAAGGCTTATCTGCAATGGCAACGCAATAAGAGGGATGAAAATAATCGAAGGGAGAGAACAATCGCATGCGGAGTACAGCATCGTTGAAAGATTCGCTTTAGGGGTTTTATTTGGTAGCTCGAGGGCAGGGAGTGTGGTTGGCTTTGAAAAGAATTTCATTGCGCCGCGATGGGAATTTTTCATATTGTGGATTTTTTTATATATTCTTCGTTCTCCTTCCCTCTTAATTCCTGTGCTCAGAGGCAACTTTTTGTCGGGGGAGGTCGGTTAAAACTTGGAAAATTTGATGGACAATTGGAAGAACTTGAAGGTGGTGAATATTTGTAAGAGGGGACCGTATCGGAAGATGGAAGGGTCGTACTGACACCGCAGTATCGTGACGATGTTGTCTGTACCCATCCTTGGCGCTGCGCCACAAGGCACCTTTGAGGCTACTTTGAGGCCGCTACTATTCCATAGGAATCGTTACAAGCTTACAAGCCTGCTTTTATCCGGCCAGAGCAACTCCTCTCCCAGTGGCGCGGCGTCGTTCAACTCGCCCAGAGCGGCATATTAGTATTGTTTTGCCACGTACCCCCATGGACGGACGGCCCACGTTAGTACCTATAACACCGGGAGCGTCCTTTGCCACCAACCACGCTCGAGAAAATATCTCTCTGACTCCATCTCCTTCAGAACGACAAATCATTGGCGACTGTTAATTCAAAGTGAACAGCTTTTAATCAACGATGAGTAGAAACTTCTTTTTCAATGATTCTTTTGTCACACTAATGTCCTTAATTGACAAACCATTCATTTCTGGGACGGGCAACAGATGAACAAGGAAGGAAAGCCCTTCTCAACTATGGCAGTTCCTTACGAATCTTGAAGGCAGTGGGCAAGATGGCTGAAGGCGGGCGGTTGTCGCGAACGTCATCGGTAGAAGGGCTGACAAAGGTGCGGCCCAACACCCTCTCATCATGGCCCTTTCTCCAACAACGCCTTCAACAACCGCCCGCCTCCAGCGACCGTTCCCACTGCTTTAATCCACACTGATTGAGCAAACAACTGTGAAAAGTTATCATTCCATCACATTCTGTGCACCTAACTTAATGGCTAATTCAATTAAGGCATCTTTACAAGCATGCAGTTCCTTCTTAGGCATGAACTCTTGTTGTGAATGGGCGTTCTTGATAGATCCTGCACCGAACAGATACTTTCCTGGAAAACCATTGACCTGGACTTCATAGTCGCTAACAGAAAAAGTTCCTTCATAATCAATGAGCTAACCTTTTAACTGCGACAACCTGCCATAGTAAGGTAAATCGGTATTGAAAGCCGCTTGATCTACGGGTAAGTCGAGCGGAGCTTTGCTGAGTACGACTGGATCATTATAGGACATCACTTCGATTGTGGCACGTCCTGAACAAAATCATTTCACATCAAAGCTGTATAGGTTCCGGATAAAGGGTTCCGAACTCCAGCGCCCCCCCCCCTCCACTACCTTCGCACGCCACGGCGATGTGTTTTTTTTTCAAAAACGACTCCTCCAGCTCCTCATCGCCTCCCTGGTGTCCCTCGAGCACCCGGAATATGGCCCGTCTAACCAAGTAATTGTACCCTGAACGGGACTAACTGTTCCACGATTACCAGCCAGGAATTATGATTACCATTCACTCACTCCTATGCACCACATGCCGCCTACGCGTGCCAGTTGCCCTCCCAAACATTTTTCGTTTTCTGTAGAATAATAATTACAATCTTGATCTGTGCGGCTGCTGGGACGTTCCAGGGGAGGGGGGAGGGCTTAGGCGGCGTCAACCTAATTTCCACCAGTTGTAAAAGCTGGAAAGCGATCACAAATTTCTTAGAGCAGGTTGGCGCCGCGCCAAACGCGCCCCCTCCCCTCAAACGCACCAACATCCGTGGCGAACACGTGTAGCAATGCATATAACTGGATGCGGAGAGACGTGTCAGAGGGCAGAATTGGAGCTTATCGGCGGCTGCGTTTCCTTCCAATCGCGAAGCCGGACAAAGTCACTATTGGTCATGTTGTTGAGCTCAAGTCTACCCCTCTAACACGCTTTTATAGATGGTTAGACAGAGGAGAGGATGAAAGAATCTACCTGCTACAACAGTCTCAAGCCGCTGCTTCGCGTCCTCTACCGAAGTGGTGACACGTAGGAAGATCTTCGCTGAGGCATTCTCGGCCCACGCATTCAACGCCTGTCCTCCTTCTATGAGACCGATGTTGACGGTAGTCTCTCCTAGAACTCTGTGAATTATCACTTTTGCAAACGTCTCATAACGTCTCATGACCACAAACCCAATTCGGGATCACTTGGCCAACTGTAGTTGAGGATGTCATTGAGGATGGGAACCAACATATGGATTGCACTTTTCCCTGCTGATGGATATCCAGAATGACCAGCGACACCTTGACATTGAAGAAGAACCTCAACAAAAGGTCTCATGACAATGTTTTCGGGCCAAATTCAGCATTTTCTGGAAAGGTCTTAAAAAGAATCGACGTAAAAAAAACCCACTTTTAGTGCACCTTTTTGTATCGTAGCGAATTTCAACTCCGTTGGCTCGCCCACTATCAAATAATCGGGCTTTAGGTCTACGAAATCGTTTGCCTTCTGAAAATGACTTCTCAAACACTATGGTAGCAGGAGCTCCAATTCAAATGACCGCCATGGCTAAGCAATAAGCTCCACGTAGCAGTTAACGCTTAGCACCGGACAGTTGGTCCTATTACTACTCTGTTACCGGTTCGCTGGTCTAGCGAAACACTCCATATCTTGGAAATGAGGAGGGTGGGGCTGCATACCTCGTTAGAAGATTGAATCGGACGTGTTTTTCACGGCATATTTTCATCCGAAACCACTGTCAAGGCCACAGCCATGCCCACTCTCCGGGATTGTAGAGTGTATGTATGGCACATATTTGCCTGCCCGTTCTTTGTACCACAGACTATGGCCGGGGTAAATGGTAGGAAGACTAGACCATCAAACCGACCTGGGAAATCAATACAGTCTTGTTTGCTGCAGATGATGCAGCGTGTCAGGAGGGATGGGTGTAGTGCGGCGCCAAATCTGTTTTACACTAGTTGTAGAAGTGAGCAAGCGACAGACTGTACCATATCGCATCAGTCGTTTTCCAGTAATTGTCGATTCTCGCTTCAACTGGTACAAAACGTGCTGACGGCGCGCCAAACCCAGTCACAG